GTTTCTGACGTTTTTCGGTACCCGGGGACAGGGGGGTATAGAAAGCTCCACTTCCGGAGCACCCCCGGATCGGCGGCAATGGCCGGAGGCCAGCCCAATAAGAAGAGGCGCCATGAGACCTTGGGAAATATCGTGGCCCCGCCACGATATCCACCCCCCCCCTGGTCACCACTCCCCTCCTTGCCGCCCCCGAAACCTGGCGCCCTCTTGAGAGCACCCGACCCGGGCTGTAGTGGGGCCGTCGGAGGCCGGCCTGGTGGCCCTCGGGCGGGCCCTCCGGGGGCCCGTCGGCGCCCCCGGGGCGCGCGGGGCTCTTGCCCTGCTCGCCTCCGTGTCGCACGCGCTCCGCCCAGGAGGAGACGAGCGCGCTCCACGACTCGCAAAGTGCCTGCTCGCAAGTGGCCTGGAGTCGCCGCGGGGGGTCTACAACACATTACGTCGGGGCAGATATATATGTGTGTGTGTGCTTTCAGACGTTGGCGAGTAGGCACTTTGCGAGTAGTGGAGCGCGCTCGGTGAAGAACTGCAGTACAGAGATGACGTCGGGCTCCAGTTCCGCCTCCCGCATCTCGCCGAGCAATACCATAGCCCGCTGCCACTGCGCACCTTTGCTGCATGCGCCGACAGCCGAAGCGTACAAGCCTGTCTTGACCTCCTGGCGCAGTCTCGAAGCTTCACACAAGACTTGCAACGCTGCTCTCCATTGCTTCGGCCTCCGGCAAGCAGTGTTACCCACTTCGGTAGAAGCACCCTGCCCAGATCCTCGCGGGATGCCCTGCATCTAGAATCAAAGGACATCAAGACCCACGCTAGCTGAATTCATTGAGTATCGTTTAACCGATCCCCATCCCCAGCGGCGTGGCCTGGGCCCCACTGGCCGATGTACTCCCCTAGATGGGGATAAAGGTCATTCCCTTCGGGTTTCTAGGGGTGTATCCCCAACTGGGGTGGAATTTTGGTGGGGGTCTCGAAGGGGATGGGGATGGGGATGGGGATTGGTTAAGCGATACCGATTCATGTTGGCTTGATGCTGTACCTCACAGACCATGGGCTCGAGCCAGAAAGCACAGAGGATGCGCAGGAGGAGGGGCAGGAGGACGATGAGCATAGACACGGACGGGGGGGAGGCGGGCAAGACAGAGGAGGAGGAGGAGGAGGAGGAGGAGGACAAGGAGGACGAGGAGAGGCGAAGGATGAGACAACAGCGGAGGGTGAGAAGGGGTGCAAAGAGGAGAGACAGCAGGAGGTACAACGGGAGGCGAAGGAGGAGAAGTATCGGCAGGAGGAAAAGGACGACCAGCAAGAGCAGCGGCATCAACAGGGCATGGCGAAGACGGATGCGATGGACGTGCAGGATGAGGGGAAGGAGAAGGAGGAGGAGGAGGAGGAGGAGGAAGAGGAGGACGAGAAGGATCAAAAGGAACAGGAGGAGGAGGACCACGATAAACAACATGCGGACGATGGAAACACCAGGATGAGAATGAGAAAAAGGATAGACCATCGACGGGGATGGGGAGAAGGGGCAACAGGAGCAGCAAGGCAAAAGGGCCAGGATGACGGACTGGAAAACACAGGGATGTGGGAGCACCACGCACACAGACACCCAAACAAGTATGCGCACAAGCTGGCGGATCAGTGTGAGGCATATTTCGGGGATGCTGATGGGAAGACTGAGGGAAGGAAGACGACCAGGACGGCGGGAGGATGGCACAATACACAGAAGAAAGGAACGGAAGAAGACGGCAGAGAGACACGGGGCGAGGAGCGGAGGCGCAGAGGGCACACAACGACAAGGGGGACATGGAGGACAGCACGGCAGGAGAGGACGAGGCGGATGGGGCGCAGACAGCTCTGACAACACGGCAGACGACAGATGACGGGCGATGCGCCACTTGACTCAAGAAGAAGGACGGAGAGGAAGACCACATGAACGACCTGCGACAAGAGAAGCCGACACGTCCCAGCACCCCAAAACGTGAGCCTGGACCGAAACCTATGTTCCGCGAGGGTCGCTGTAGAGGACTGAGCTCGAACGGGACGGAGGAACACGCACAAGGAACAACGGGGGACATGAAGACGGGGGTTCAGACGGAGGATGGACAAGAAGGACGAGAACGAACAGGAACGAACAGAAGGAACAAAACGATCAAGATGGAATACCACACCCCCATATGGCCATCATCCGCCTACACGCTCCTCCTCCCACGGCCCACTACCCGTCCAGTTCCGTTCTGCTTGCGGCGCGCCAGGTGTCGGCGATCGATGCGGGGCATTCGCGCAAAGAGGGGGCACATGAAACGACGATGGGGAACAGCAGCAACATTATCACGTGAAAAAGGTGGACGGGGGGGGCACGATGAGGAACATGATGAACATGAGGAAGAGGAGAAAAAGGAGGAGGAAGAGCAAGATTACGATGATCACGGAAAGGAGAGCGAGCACGACGAACACGAGAAGTCTGACGAATAGTGGACGTTTTATGAATACGAGGGCGATCTGGACGGTGCCACGAAGGCAAGTAGTCCAGACGCGTGGGCGTTGCTCAAGCAATTCTGTTCCGAACACCCAGCACCCCAAACACCAACAAGAAAACCCCTGCATATCATTCGAAAGCACTCCCCCAAATTGCGGTGGATGAGTTAAGAGGGGGATGGAATTGAGAGGACTGCGGGACCAGGAAGTGTGGCAGCCGCGAGCACGAGGCTGAGCACGGATCCCGCCCTGAAGTAGAAACGTCAATTTTTCTGGACGACCCCTTCGCCCCCACGGCGCCCAGCCAACGAGCACCACGAACCGCACGGTGCGCGAACGATGCGACAACCCGAGCATCAAGGCATCAAAGGGGATATGAGTATGAGGGTGCCGACGAAGACGGGAAGATTGAGGGTGATGATTCTGCCAGCGGACTGGCGGCGATAGGCAGCAGGAGATACGACCATGCACGCTGCGGCACCGAGAGGACACGTTTCGTTCGACCGTGCGCTTCAGGCACTGGGCACAGGCAGTGCCGCACCGGCTCAGAGGGCGGAACCCAAGGACGCCCGAGGGGTAGCAAGCACGCGCGAGAGAGAGGGAGAACGATCCGGCGCGATTGGAAGATAACACCAAGGAAGTCACCGGCCTCCGTCGGGAGGCCGCAGGCAGAGAGAGCACGGGCAAAGGCGCGCTCGCACTCGTCAGGACCTCGCGCACGGGCGAGGGCGACAGAACACAAAACAACGACGGGCTGACATGCGCACGCCCAGCGTGGTCGCATCCGCTGGGCTGTCGCAGGTGGCAGGCCCGCGTGCGCACAGCGACGGCACGGCCGGAGCTCCACCCGCAGCCGACTCGGAAACGCCCATTACACGTCGGTCGGAAGAAGTACAGGGCAGTTTCTACTGCATAGGATTTTAAAAAATCTAGGATTTGAATACATTATGAATTGATGATTAAATTTATGCATGAACTCATCGTTGTTTGTAATACTAAGATCCCTGCATCTTTAATACATGATCCGCACGCGGAGCATGTATCAAAAACGGCACTGTAGGTAAAAGCATGAAGTAGGAAGGCGGATTAAGCCGATTGGGTCCAGCCCCCCCCAGAGAAGAACAGAACACAGCAAAAGCGTGTCGATTCTTGAAGTATCGGCGGTAGACAAACCTCCCTTTAGTAAACCTCCCCTTAGTGAAAACGGCCTGGCACCGAAACCGACGGACCTGGACCCGCAAAAATGACGGCCACGACGCCCCATCGCGAACCGAAAACGGCCAACTTATGAATCGACGTGTCAAGGTAGGAGGTCTATCCACCTCCGGAAGTAGGAATGCGCTCGAAGCAGCTTGGGATCTGGACATCCAGAAAGTTCCTGCTTTCAACGACAGGAGTGTACCCCAACTCGGACCAGAGCGGCAGCAGCGCCCCGCCCATGCACGGAGACGAACGGTTGGGGCGGCGGGCGGCGCGCGGGCCGCCGAGGGGAGCAGGGCGGGCCCGAATGTCAATCGCCCTCGCCGCCAGCGGCGGCGGCGGGGGGGGCGACTGCGGCGGCGGCGGCGCGACGCAGCAAGAGCGGCGAAGCAGAGGGCCGCCAGCGCAGAGACAGTCTCGCCACTCCTCGACGCCATCGCACCTCCGAGCAGATCGGAATCCATAAGGCCAAGCAGCCGCGGCGAAGGGGGGCCCGGCCGCCGCCAGCAGCGGCGCAAGCACAGCGGAGCAGCAGCAGCAATAAAACGCGCAGGCGAGGGCGCACAGCAACAGAAACATCAACGACATAGAAACCAGACAGGGGGCGCGAAGGGGCAGACACAAACGGCGCGGAACACTCGTGCCCGTCTGGACCTCGCTCGCGCGAAGGCAGTGGTGCAACGGGTCGGGCGGGATCGACTGTGCTCAAACTGCGCTCAAACTCGAATCACAAAGATCTGATAATCAGCCTGGAGGTCTGCGGGCAAACTGCGTGGCCGCTCAGATCTGGGGGGCATCGCTACGTGCAGGCAGGAAGCCTGCTTGCAAACATCCGGATCTGGGCAACATCGCGCGGCGTGGGCGCGAAACTGCGAGCGCGCGCGCGTCGAAGCCTGGCCCGCCAGAGCGAGCAGAGCCACATCACGTCGAGTGCCCGAGGGCGCCCATGGACACGTCCAGAAGCTGGCAATGGAGCAGCGGTGCCGAGGGGGCAGAGCGGGCGAGCCCAGGAGGAGGGGGCAGCTTGCAAAGCAAGGCGGCAGCGGGTAAGCTCGACGCACCAGGGGTTCGCGCTCGGAAAATAAACCAAAATAGCTACGGATGATCATAATAAGATTGATGATGAGCATGCTGATGATGATGATGATGATGATGATGATGATGATGATGATGATGATGATGATGATGATGATGATGATGATGATGGAAATTGTGATGATGGTGATGATGATGGTGATGATGATGTTGATGATCAGAGAGGGGGATGCCCTCCTTCACCTTCTCCATCTCTGGCCCCCTCCTGGCACGAACTCTCAGGAGGGGCGTTCCTGCATCGCCAGTATCGCTTCGTCGCGCTCGTCCTGGGCTGGAAGTTGTTGGTGCGTTGGCAGGAAAGGGCGATCAACAACAGAAGCAAGAGGGTGATCAGGAAGGGGGGTATGAAAAAGAGAGGCGATGAGAAGAGGAGGGAGGGAGAGGAGGAAGGGAGGAGGAAGAGGAGGCAGAATGGTGAGAGGGGGAGGCGAAAAGCAGGGGATACGGAGGATGACAAGGAAGACAAGATGACGAACACGAGAAGTATGCGAGAGGACGGCGAGGAGAACATGAGCGGAGCAGGGCGGGAGGGAGAAAAACTGTCCGTCGCTCCTTATTCTAAACCTCTCGCAGAACCAATCCACACCCCACCAACGGACTGGCCTACCCCAAGGATTGCATTTTCGATACATAAAGGGAACCGAGTGGGGGGCCATAGACACGCGCTTGGAAATTTCGGGAGCTAGGGCGACCCAACGCCGATCCGAGGAGTCCCGCGGAACTCCGAACATTTTCTGGTGATGCCGCTTTTCCGTCTTCGATGTGAAATGCCAAAGACCCTTTCAAGAACATCCCCTCCCGCAACAGCTGCTCCCTGCACCCCCTTCGCCCGATGCTGCGCAGTCATGCCCACATGTACCGAAACAGTGGCACGATAGCTCCCCTGATGCCAGCGGCACGCGCACGCATGCCTCGTCTCGCGCATCCACCACCTGCTCCTGGCAGTCTCTACTGCGCGTCGACGGAGCGAAGCGAAGCGAAGCGAAGCGAGGCGCCGGAGGCGTGCGTGCTCCTGCGGAGGGGCACGCCCGTGCCCATCAGGACATGGCGTGGAGGCCGTGGCCTCAAACATGGCCGTGGCGTCAACGGAGCGGGAGCAAGGGAAACGAGAACCACGCAGACGACAGCGAGCGCGCAGGCGGGAGGCCCAGGCTGGCCCAGGCGGGCGGGCGGAACTACTGCCCCCGCGTGTCCATGAGGCGGTGGACGTAGTCGGCGCCCCCGATCTCTCGCTGCACTCGCCTGGCAGGAGACGCGGTCTCGCGGATGGGCGGTCGGGGGGCGGCTGGCCGACGGGCGCAAGTTGCACGCCCTCCTCCTCCATCACCACCTCCTCCTCCTCCTCCTCCTCCTCCTCCTACTCCTCCTCCTCCTCCTCCTCCTCCTCCCCCTCCCCCTCCTCCTCCCCCTCCCCCTCCTCCTGTTCCTCCTCCTCCCCCTCTTCCTCCTCCTCCTCCTCCTCTCAATCCCCCTCCTCCTCTTCTCCAATGCAGTCAGGCAGCCTCGTGACCCCCAAACTCCTCTGCGAGACAGTGGGCAGGACCGAGGTGCCACGGTCAGTTTAGACGGAGGAGGCTCTGCGCTGGGCAGCCTCCCTCGCCTGGATGCGTGCAGGACTACGAGGAGAGACGAGGGGAGGGAGAGGGGGAGGGGGAGGGGGATCAGGAGGACGACGATGAGGTGGAGGAGGAGGAGTTACTCCCCAACGACCCTCCCATGAGGGCATTGGGGCCACCGTCGCCTCGCCTAAAGACAAATCCCGCCCAGAAATCATGCACGAGATCACGCTCGGCATCTCCGCGTGCTCGCATCCGCACCCGTCACCTCCTCTCTCCTCCTCTCTCCTCTTCACTCCTCCTCCTCCTCCTCCTCCTCCTCCTCCTCCTCCTCCTCACTCCTCACTCCTCTCTACTCTCTCCTCTCTCCTGTCCTCTCTCTTCTCCTCCTCTCCTCCTCCTCCTCCTCCTCCTCCTCCTCCTCCTCCTCCCCTCCTCCTCCTCCTCCTCCTCCTCCTCCCCCTCCTCCTCCTCTCCCTCCTCCTCCTCCTCCTCCCCGCTTTGTGGCACAGTGAGGGGGCGAAGGGGGGGGGGGGGGGGGCAAACGCTCGCGGGAACTGGCAACCTCTCGGCATGCAGACGGATCGCGGGCGCCTCGCAGCACCGTCGTCGGCCGCCGCCGCCGCCGACGACGACGACGTCGTCCGTCATCGTCATCATCATCGTCATCGTCGTCGTCTTCGTCATCGTCGTCGTCAGCTGCGGGCACGTGCTGCGCTGACGAGCGGGCGGGGCCCGATCGGACCTGACCGCGCCCGTTCGGGACACGATCGTGAGCCTGGGCGTGTCGCCCCCGGTGCTCCTGAGCGGTCCCCTTCAGTGTCCTTCCACACACAGTGGGAGCTCGTTTACAAGAAACCTTCCACAAGAAAGCCAGGCCACTAAAGGTGATCCGCGACCCTCACCCCTCCGCGCCGCCCCCGAGCCCCGCCCCGAGAGGCGCCCCCAGCGCCTCCAGGAGCCCCCCCCGAGGGGGGAGGTCGAGCCGCCGTTTGGAGCCGCCCCCTTCCAAAATGGCCCCCGAGACGGCCAGTACAATGGAGGCCCGTCCAAAAGAAACCTTCCACGGGAAACCCAACCCTGAAACCACAGGACGTCCATAAAGTTTCGGTGTGGGAACGTCACACTTCTCATGGCAAAACCATCGGAGCCTAAGAAACCCTAGGGCCCCCTGGAGGCAAGCAGGGTGTTTCTTGGCATGGGCCTCCACTGTACTAGATCTGGCGCTCCACCCTGATAGTCAAACTGCTCTGTCCGTCGCGTGTGTCTCTTGACCCTGGCGCGCAGACACGTCCAGACTGGCTTGGGTAGTGCTCTTTCAGAATTGAATGCGCAAGTGTACACTCCCCCAGAATTGTGACCCGCCCAATCGTAGCGAAGACGGTCGATGGCACTGAAGAAAAACGAATAAGGATAATACGAATAACAAAGATAATGGTAAGAAGAAAAGGAAGAAACAGACGTTGACACATCCTGTGATGCTTGACCGTCGGTAAGGGGAAACCACAGTTGCCGATCAAACGCCCTGCTCGTGGGACCATCGGCAGTGGCTGCTGCCCTCCATGGCGGCTGCGGAACGTAGCGGTCAGATGATTGTCAGGCGGGCACGCCTCATCCTGACCAGGGCGAGGGGGCCGAACAGTCTTATACTGTCCTTGGATACGTGGATGAAATGGGGCTCCGCGGCGCCGGTTCTTGTCGTGGTGTGTTGCTGTCCTCGTCGCGCCCCGCGGCCCGCCCCGCGACCCGACCCGCGACGCACTCCGCGACGCACCCGCGACCCGCTCGCGACACTCCCTCGACCCAGCCGCGACCCTCCCTCGACCCACCCGCGATCCACCATCAACCCACCCGCGACCCACACGCCCGCGTCTCCCACACTCGTTTGGTACGCGGGCGCGCGAAGCGGGTCGAACGCCGGGCAAGCAGGGGCAGGCTGTGCCACCAGCTAAGGGGAAAACATAATGACTAGCAGCGCCGGGCGCGGGACGGAGCTCAGCGCGTCCAAAATGGCGTCGCGTCTCCCACACACGCTGCATCAAAAGGTCGCCGTCTCTGGTGGGCTTCTGCGGCGCCTGCGGCGGTTTTCTGGACATTCGCTTTCCGTCCCCGTGGCCAGCGGGCACCCCGCCCCACAGCCAACCCAAAATGGTTTGTAGAACAAGCCGCCCACAACGCCAGGCAAGGCAACCTGGGCGCTCCCACAAGTTTACCCAGAGCTGCGGGGCTAGGCATGTTTCATCCTCCTCCTCTCGAGATCGTCCGCAGAACGGCTTCTGTAGCGCGTCCTGACAAACATTGAAAGCGGATCAAAACGAGAGTCAAGCAGTCTAGGAGTGCTTCCATATCTGAAGCGCCTACCCCTAGATTCGCAGTTTGAAGGCATTCCCTATAGCGGTGCACAGTGCAAAAAAGTGGGAACCTCCACGAAGGCAAATCGATGCTTCCGACGCGCTGGGCTCTGGCCAAAAATATGTCGACCATCGCCCCCGCACTCGGCAGTCAACGGGCCTCCAGAGAAAATTTGAAGAAGAAGGACGCATCGAGAGCTAATTGGAAGCACGCAGCGAGCCCGTCGCAGTCAGTGTTTACGTCAAGTCTATTTGGATGGGTCTCGCGTGCGTCGCGGGTGGGCCGCAGCAGGGCAGCGGTTGGGCCGCGGGTGTGTCGCGGGTAGGTCGCGGGCGGGTATTGGGCGAGGGCGACAACAGCATTATCATATGTAGACTGCTCGCTCTTCGATGCTTGCGAGTCTTTCAGCGCCTGTGCCCTTGACCCTCGATGCCCGCCATCTTCGTCTTCGATCGTATCCCTTTCGGAGGTATACCATCCATTGCCTGCCGCATGTACTTGGCGTAGCCCCTAGAAGTAGAAGAAGAGATCGGAGGTGAATGGTTGAGATCGCAGTGTATCGGAGAGCCTCTCACTAGAAATTCAGTTTCGGTTTCTTGTTCGTGCTGTGCGTGTGGGCGAGGTGAAACTGCGTGGGCGGGCGAGAAGAATGAACCCTCCTCTGGCCACGACCCCGCAGAGCCAAGAAACCGCCCCTCACCTCCATTTGGCCGGCAATGGCCGGGGGTGCCGCGGGTGTAACGCGGGTTTCCAGCGGGTGTCCCGTCGATGTCCCGTCGGTGTCGCGTCGGTGTTTCATCGGTGCCCCGTCGTTGTCCCGCAGTGAGATCGGTAGGTGACCCGCTGGTGTTCCGTCGTGAGATCCACAGTGAAATCGATAGTGAGATCTATAGTTAGACCGATAGCGAGTGAGATCGAAGGTGAGAGCCGTAGTGAGATCGATAGTCAGGTCGATAGTGAGATCCACAGGGAGATCGGTTGTGAAATCCGTATTGAGGTCGTTAGTGTGACCGATTGAATGAGATGTTTCCCCCCCCCGCCTCGAGCCTCCGTATCACCCGCAGATTGGGCGCACACGTGAGGAAACAGGGGAGAGTGAGGAAACAAGGAAACGAGGAACGTCGAGGGACGGGGAACGACAGGAAGGGGGAGGATCGAGAGCGAATGAGATGTTCCGAAGATGGGGGAGACGAGAGGAGCACGAGTTTGTGCAGACGGACCTACACGGGCGTCGGGCGGGCGCCAACGCATGGTTCGCGCGAGGGAAGGCCTCCAACCAGGACTGGACCTGAAACGTGGCTCCTCGCTTTGTGTTCGCTTTGCTGTTCTTCGCTTTGCTCGACCTGCTCTCCTGCACCTCCTGCCAGAACGAGAAACTAACACACAGCTGGAGTCCAGCAAAACGGCGCCTAGGTCCAGCCCTGCTTCCGGCCACGCGGACGCGCAGACCCTGCCAGGCAGGTCACGCGGGCCCGCCCCCGCGGGAGCGCGGGCGGGCGCGGGCGGACCCTATAAGAGGGACGAGGGTCGGGCGGGCGGGCGAGAGCGGGCGCGGGGGCCCTGTCGGGCGGGCGGGCCCCGACGGGCTGGTCGGCCGCGGCAGTGGGGCGAACCTGTTGGCGCACTGCGAGGGAAGCCTGTGGCGGGGGCACGGATCATGAGGGACTTGTGGGGAGGGGTCTCGTGCGAGAGCGCGAGGGCGGACCCTGCTCGACGAGGGAGCGACTGCGACTCCAGAGGCATCGCGAGGAGCGCATCGACGGGAGCACAAGTCCTATTCGCATGGTGAGGAGGTCTCGGGCTGAGAGCGCCTTTTGCATAATGTGTGAATGCAGTGTGAGGAAACGTGAGAAACTGTACGGACTATACGTTTGAGTACAATGTGAAGACTTGAACCGTTGTTGTATTAGCCAGGGGTGGCAACAGCGAAGTTTGAGCACGGCTACTTCCCCGCATGAACACAAAGTGCGAGCCCTGGGGGGGAGGGTACTTCAATTGCAAATCACACGGCGAGCCAGACAATGGTGGTCAACAATCATTGGGCGTCACAAATGACAAGACTACAACAATACTTCAAACCGCCTGAGACCACTTCAGGAACGCATCAAGGGATGGTTTAACAGGACTCGGGCCCCCTCACTCTGACATACCTTCCGCCGCCCGTGGCAGCCATTGGGGTATAGCGAGGGCGGGGCGTAGCGTTTCAGCTGCATGCAGCGGTATTTTTGGACATGCCTGGCATTTGATTGAGGACCATGGCAAGCGGCGGGGCCAAACCCACTGCGTGCAGCAGGTTTCGCAATCCCCCTTCTCCCGACTCACGCTTTCCTTCTCCCTAGGAGGAGCCCCCCTCCATTGCCATCACTCGGACATCCACTGCGCATTTGTCGGTCTCGTGCGTACTTTTGTTCGCCAGGTGATCCAGGAAGCTCATCGATGGCCGTCGGCGAGAAAAAATGCACACGTCGGAGCGATGCCAAGGAGACGAGCCCCTCTCCTCCTTCTCCTCCTCCCAACAGGCGGAGAGAGGGCGCTTCAGCGTCTCCACTCCAGCGGCAAGTGCGTCGACGATGTCCTTCTGGGCGCGCGCGAACTCGATGCTCTCCACGAGCTCCTCTGGACCAGACCGGCCCGGGAAGAAGAACGCTCGCGGAAGTGGGGAGCATTAAGAAGAGGAGGGGCAGGACCAGGAGGAGACCAGGACGACGACCACGCGGTAAACAAGACGGCGGCAGTGGGCGGACGAGGACGGCGAGGACGGAGGCGAGCGAGGAGCGAGAGGGAGGCGACGAGGAGCTAAAAGGGAGACTCCGGTCCCGCGACGCAGATCTGAGGAGCGGACCGGACACCCGAGCCCCTGAGAGCAAGCCGGTCCGCATTTCAGCGCCTTGACTTCAGGTAAGGGGGAAACGTTCTACTCTCGAGGGTCCGCCCGGACGTCTGGGATCGGCACTGGAGACTCCTTCGCAGAAGGCATCTGTACACCACAGCCGTGCCAAGACAGGGCCATCCTGGGCCCCAGGATGGTGTATACGCCCTCCTGGCCGAGGCCAAGAGGGTCTATACACCATCCTGGGGCCCAGGATGGCCCTGGCCTGGCACGGTGGTGGTGTATAGATGCCTTCCTCGGAACTCCTACCTGCCGCGCGGAGCGGGCCAGGGGGTCCAGAAAAAGATCCAAGGGACCTGCCCGGGCCCTCGAGCGTGTGCGCGCTTGAGCAGCTGTTCTTTCCTCGACTGCGGCGGCGATGGCGCTGGACGTTCGCGGAGTCCGCCGAGACGAGCTCGCCCTCATCTTAGAGGACCTACGTCGACCCCTGTGCCAGGCTTTTGGGGATTTTCGAATGAACCGAAAATCTGGGGCCCGACCCTAGGATATGCGACGGGGGGCGCCCGTCCTCGATAGGGGGGGCGTCCGAATAACACCCCTGGGGTGAGTCCCAGGGTTTCCCTCGGCTCCTGAGCGGCTTCGTTTTCCGCCGACAAAATGGGGGGCAAAGCAAAGAAGACGTGCATCCATGAAGGACGCGTGGGCAGAAATAGCAACTAAAAAGTTGCCGCGGCCGCAGCGGGCGCCTCTAGGGGGGAGGAGGTGGAGGAGGCAGAATGCTTCAGATGCTCAGATGATCCGAGATTGTAGACGGATTGCGCCCGTTGCTGCCTGGGTCATCCTCTGCGCCGGCGGAATGAAAAAGCCGCCCGCGATCATCGTCCGCCCGCGGCGGCGGCCCTGGCGCCGTGATCAGCCAGGGCCCCCCCAGAGGGGCATCGGAGGGCGAGCCGCGATCGACGAGTCGCGGGGTCGGGGAGCAGAGAAAGGCAGCAATGGCGGAGAGGGCGGTGTGGAAGGCCGCCGGCAGGTCCGCGGTCTGCAATAATGGGCCTGTTTTCCACCACCGCCACCTTGAGTTGGAGGGAGAAGGGTCCTCCTTCTCCTCCTCCTCCTCCTCCTCCTCCTCCTCCTCTTCGTCCTCCTCCTCGTCCTCCATCTTCTTCCCCCCTCCGACTTATGGTGGTGGTGGTGAAGAACAGGCCCATCATGCAAGACCGCGGGCCTGCGAGGCATCGGCATCGGCATCTAAACAGGGCAGCGATCCCCGAGATCCCGCCGTCACCATGTTTCGAGCTCGTCTGTCTCCGGGCCCTGTGGTGCCTGGCAGGTCGATCTGGCTCGAAGAGTAACGCAGGACGGTGGGGTCTAGGACTCCAGCCGTAATGTTTAGGATGTTGCAGCTTTTTCGCTGCGTCGGATCTCAGGGGTATGCAAATCTACAATTGGCGAGGCAGCATCATCAGGTTTGCAGCATACAAGAGGCCATCGGCAGGGCCATATCGTTGCGATCCCGGTGCTGGTTCTTGACACCGCGTGGAGGGTTCAACCTTTGAATGATCGGCAGCTTGCGATTGCCATGTCGTTCAAAACTGGCAGATTCTGGGCCACTGGCGGAACATGACATTGAACGCCAGCGCCAGGGTAGTAATGGGAGTACACGATTAAAACAAGATTTTGGGCCGGACGATTAAAACAATAGTTTCGCCGGCCTGGGTGCCCCCACAATAGGGGGAGAGGGGGCTTGGCCCACGGAGGGGCGACAATTCGAGCGGCATGGGGGAGGCTGAAAGCCGAGGGCTGACCACCCTGCCTCCCGATTTCCCCAATCCCAATCTACCCTCCCACGTTTTTTTTTCTCCCCCAACCCACACCTGCGTAGTTGGGCCTCGTTTTCCTTGAGACACCGCGTCTCCTTCTGTCCTTCTCCTTGTCCACCTCCTCTCCTCCTCCCTCCTCCCTCGTCCTCCCTCATTCCCCCTGACTCCTCACACGGTTCGTGGCCCCAGAAGGAGCTCCACCGCGCAGCGAGGCGGAGAAAATAAGTCGAACCACGATGAAGATAATACTGCAGGCCCTCCTCGTAATAAAGTGTCTACAAGGACCCGAAGGAATCCTCGAAACTGCGCCGCGTGTGGCTGCCCCAAAGCGACACCTGAAAAAATGCGGCGGGACGGGATGGGAGAGGCGATTTAAACGCTAGTTTTCGGCACGCCGTCACGGCGCGAGCCCAGGGGCGTTGCGGGGCGGGGGGGCGGGGGAGGGGGCGGGCGGGAGGACGATTAAAAAAATAGTTTCCGATGCCCGATTTTTATTCGTCCACCTCACACAAAAGAATCAGGGACCCCGGGGGGGGAGGGGGGGGGGGGGATTTGTTTAATCGTCTACTCCCATTAGCCGCGCCAACACTACACGAACCTACCGTACAGAAAACAATGTGGTAAATCTACCGACCCTGTCGGCGTGTGCGAGGGGCTTGGCTGTTCGAGTCGTCGTCTCCGTCGGTCGTCGCCTCCGTCGTCCCCTTTCCCTGCAGCTTCCTTCTCAAGCTCGTGAGCGAGAGAAAAATCGAGCAGTGTCGTAATCGAGTCGAAGGGAAGCCCCTTCCCTTTGATCCCTTCCCCAGGGGGGGGGGGTCCCGGGGAGTGTCCTGGGGGGGGTCCCGGGGGGGGTCCCGGGGGGGATCCCGGGGGGGGTCCCGGGGGGGGTCCCGGAGGGGGTCCCGAGGGGGGTCCCGGGGGGGGTCCCGGGGGGGGTCCCAGGAGGGGGGGGCAGATTCGTTTTTCCTCGGGCGGCCTAGAAACCTCGAAAACACTCCAAATGAGGTCCGAAAGCCCCAGATGGCCCCCGAGACGGCCCAAGAGGGCCCCGAGTCGCCCAAAGATCGGCCGAAAACGCCCAAGATAGCCCCAAGACCGTCCAAGAAGCCTCCAAGACGTCCCAGGCTCCCTCCAAGAGACCCCCAGGAATCCCCAAGAGGCCCCCACGAGGCTTCCAAGCGGCCCCTAAGAGCCTCCCAAGAGGCCCACAAACTACCCCCAAGAGGCCCCCAAGAGCGCACGTCGTCGTCGTCGTCGTCGTCGCCATTCAGGGTCGGCGGCACCGGCCGTAAGGCCTTCGCAATAGGATGGGTCGGGAAACCGTGCCGAAGGCACGAACGCTCGGAGTGCGTGGACGCCTCCACCCTCACCCTGGTGATCCCTCCTCTTCCTCCTCCCTCCTCCCCCTCCGTGATTATCCCTGTCCTACTCCGCAGAGCTCGCTTGCTCTCTATACCTGCGGGCTTCCCACACAGACGCAGCCCATTCCCGAGAGGAACATGCTCAAGCTCAATCTACACACAGGGGGGGAAGGGGGCCCGGATGCGGGTGGGTCTGCAGCGCCGGAGGCACAGGCAGACGCCGATGGCCAGCATCATCGGAGCCCGGCTCCCTCGTCGCGCAGGGGTCAATCAATGCCTCGTCCTCGGCCATGTCCGTCGACTCCGTCGAGGTTCTGAAGGACTGCAAAAAGGATTGCAAAAAAACTCTGGTTTTTTTTGTGCAATCCTTGGATTCTGAAGGTTTTTTTTTTTTTGCAATCCTAGGTTTTTTTGCAATCCTTCGTTTTTTTGCAATCCTTCGACCCCGCGCCTGTAAGGGTTCTGGCTGGTGCTGCGTCGAAAGGCCCGGAGAGAGGCATGCCCGTGCGCCCAGAAACGGGGGCCCGTGGCCCCTCGCTGCCCCCCGGTTGTGGCATCATGGGGGGGGCACCCCCGAGATCAGAGCGATGGCTCGTTCCCCCCTCATTTGGACGCCCGAGTTATCCGGGGGTAGCTCGGGTCTGGGGTAACTCGGGTTCGGAATCCCGGAAAAACCAACCCGAGTAAGCCCTGACCCGAGTTACCCCTGATGATTCGGGGCTCTCGACGCCCGAACTATCCGGGGTAAGTCGGGTTCGGGTTCCCGAAAACGAACCCGAGTTGGCCCTGGCCCGAGTTACCCCATGATACTTCGGGGCTCTGACCCATCGTTTGCCCCCACATCGTGGCCCCCCTTCGTGGCTGTGAAAAGCTGTTCGGCGGCCCTCTTGCGACAAGGGTGTCGTTCCTTGTTCGCGCTGGGAGCGCAGCATCCGAGAGCTCTCCTCGACCTTCGCGAGGTTGGTGTTGCAGTCCATTGCCAGCTGCTGGTGCAACTTCTTCTTTCTCAGAGCGAGCATGGCCTGATAGTGTGCAACGCGACTTGAACGAACATGGCCTGCCAATGTGCAACACATGTGAATGAACACGTTTGGACACATCGAATCGCTGTGGCACCGAACGGGACCTGGCTTCTCTGAACCAGGGCCAAAGTGAGGGCAAATGAACAACAAACGACATTAATGCGGCAGTCACGGGCACACGCATGTGACTTGTTCGAGAGAGGCAGCATGTATCGAAGACACACCCATAGCTATACATGTATACACATGTGATACACGTCTACAGATGCAGCGTGGGCACGCGTACCAATGTAGAATGTGCACATGATCGTGCACATAGACAGCGGCATACATGCCTAGCCAAATGTAGGGATATATAATGATGCTTGTATGCATGTACATTCGTATACATATATATATACATGGATGTACGAACGTGAATTATATACAAACATATGTATATACATATGTATGTAGATTATCATGCGCACACCTCCGAGGGATTAGAGCTCGGAGGCGATTAATGGAAGGCCGCGCCGCGTACGTGATGTTTCTGGCCGTTTCGCTGGGGAGATCCTCGACATTCTGAAAATCGGTGGCACCCCTCACACAGATCGTGACGTCAGGGTCAAAAAAAAACACATGGAACATCAAACGTTTAAACACACAATGCAATTCCAATGATGTTGACCCCGATTCTCAAAGAATGGCGGTTTCGCCTGAGACATCCTTCGAAAGTCGAGCCCCGACGTACCTTCTGGTACCCCAGACCCCGCCTCGGAGCCTCCTGGGGGCCTCCTGGAACCTCCTGGGACCTCCTTGGGCCTGCGGTCTCTTGGTCGGGCCTCCTGGAGCCTTTTGCGGCCTCCATGGACATCCTCGCAACTTGGAGCCCAAACGTACCCCTCCTGGAGCCTCCTGGAATATTTTCCGGCATCCTGGTCGGGCCTCCTGAGGATTCCTGGGGGCCCGTGGTACACACATCGCAAGGTGTGTACAACCCCGCTTGCGCTCGAGTGCGACCCCGCTATTGCACTTCACTCCCAGCAACTATCCTACTCCTCCACTTCTCGTCCTTCGCTTTCTCTCCACATCTAGTGAATCAAATCGGCTGGTGGGAATCGTGCTTACATTTCTCTTCACAATTGCGCCTGAAACGTCCTCGCAACTCTGGAACGGTTCGCCTTCCAATTGGCACGTGAGTGCCCAGGCTCATGCATCATACGCACCTCCCCGAGGGAGTAGAGCTCAGAGGCGATGGATTGAAGGCCGCGACGCGCCCGCGATGTTTCTGGCCGTATCGCTGGGGAGATCCTCGACATTCTGAAAATCGGTGGCACCCCTCACACAGATCGTGACGTCAGGGTCAAACAAACACATGGGAATCTCAACAATTCCAACATCAAACCTTCAAACACACAATGAAATTCCAATGAGTTTGGCCCCGATTCTCAAAGAATGGCGGTTTCGCCTGAGACATCCTTCGAAAGTCGAGCCCCGACGTACCTTCTGGTACCCCAGACCCCGCCTCGGAGCCTCCTGGGGGCCTCCTGGAACCTCCTGGGGCCTCCTTGGGCCTGCGGTCTCTTGTTCGGGCATCCTGGAGCCTCTTGCGGCCTCCATGAACATCCTCGCCACTTCGAGCCCACACGAACCCCTGCTGGGGCCTCCTGGAATATTTTCCGGCATCCTGGTCGGGCCGCCTGAGGATTCCTGGGGGCCCGTGGTACACACATCGCAAGGTGTGGCAACCCCACTTGCGCTCGAGTGCGACCCCGCTGTTGCACTTCACTCCCAGCAGCTATCCTCCTCCTCCTCCTCCTCCTCCTCTTCTCGTCTTTTTCTTCCCTCCACATCTAGTGAATCAAATCGGCTGGTGGGAATCGTGTTGACACTTCTCTTTACACTTTCGCCTGAAACGTCCTCGCAACTCTGGGCTCTGAGGTGCCCTAAGCCGCGGTGGTCAGGCCACGCTCGCATAAGACATCCTCGCAACGCTGACATCGGATAGGCATTGTCCCTGTCGGTCCTCCTGCTGGATCCCCAATCCTTTGGGGAGGCTCTTCCTCGATCTTAGAATATTATGCGTTCACCTCATGCCCCTTCCCCTTCTCTTAGGCACGCCCTGGCGGCGCCGCGCCAGCTTCCCCTTCTCCGTCTCCGATCCCGCCGTCATGGTGTCTTCCTGCTCCAAACGACCTTTCAGTTGTTGTATGAGCCTGGGCACACACGTGCCACTTGTATATCTATATATGTATATGTGTATATGTATAAACACGTGTGTGTGTGTGCACGTGTAGGTATGTTTAGATGTATACACAAATGTATATATATATATATGTATGTATACAAACATAGTATAGCTACAAATGGTTATGCATATATATATATATATATATACATCGATATGTGCGCGCGCCCCTCCCAAGGCGGCCCAAGAGGCCCCAGTCGCATAAATGACGATCCAAGACGCCCAAGATGGCCTCAAGATGGCCCAAGAGGCCTCCGAGACGCCCCAAGAGGCCTTCGAAGAGGGCCCCAAGTGACAACAATCGTTCATGTGCCGTAGGTGCTTGAAAGATTGGGCGTTCTCGCCGTTTCGGCGTTCCGACCTTACACAAAGCCCCAAGCCTCCAAACCCACCCCACAACTGCCCAACATGTCTCCAAGAGGGCCTTAAGACTGACTGAGAGCGCCCTCCCGACGGCCCACGGCCCCAAGACGGCCCCAAAACGAGGCTCCAGAGAGGGAACACGAACCGAAAATCCCAGCCTTCCGCCCCAAGAGGCCATGAGGAGACCGCAAGAGGCGCCCAGGAGGCCCCAAGAGGCCCCCAAGAAGCGTCCAGGAGGCCCCAAGAGGCCCGAAGAGGCACACCAGGAAGCCCCAGAAAAGGCACCCGAAGGCTCCCAAACGCTCCCCAGGAGGCCTTCCAACTGCCCCCACGAGGCCCCCGAGAGGCCTCCCACGAGATCCCAACGAACGTCCAGTAAGCTCCATACCCACAATGCAGGCACGGTGGCGGGATGGGCCGGAACCAATTCTGTGCACACATATATCTGTATATATACACATACATACATACATACATACATACATACATACATACATACATACAGACAGACAGACAGACAGACAGACAGACATAGAGACATACAGACATACAGACATACAGACATACAGGCATACAGGCATACAGGCATACTGACATACTGACATACTGACAGACTAGCAACTAGATCCACTCGAATGCTCCACTTTTTATAGCCCAGGGCGGAGTAACATCACAACAGCAAAGGTGAACGATGCAGCGTTGGCGCATCCTTCAAGTTATCTCGCTCACTCGTCCATCTCTCTTCCCTCCTCCCCCTCCTCCACATCCTCCTCATCCTCCTTCTCCTCCGCGTTCCTTTCCCCTATCATGCCTCATCTGTTTTTCCTCCCACAATCAGAAAAAAATCAACGCCATAAACATAAACTTGTGGTGACCCGCGCGGAGTTCTTGAATCCGCGCTGGGAGCGCGCCAGGGGCGGCGCCAGGGGTGCCGCAAGAAAATCCGAGCGCCAAAAGTTTATGTTTATAGCGTTTTCTCTCCTTCGAACAATACACCTCCCATTCCTCCTGTTCTTCTGGCCTGTTTGCCGGAGTGATCGGGAAAATGAGGGGGGTCACTTAGTGGTGAAAGTACCATGGCGTACCAATCACTTTGTCGCGTTAAAAGAATGCATGCGTACGCCGCTCAATGTCACTTCCGGCTCTAGGAGCTCCTAAAGTCGAGCACAGGTATTAAAATTGACCCACACTGAAAGCGAGCGGCCGCATTGAAATCGTCGTGGCGTCCTGCTGGGGCGTCCAGGAGCCCGATAGAGTCCGGGGTCTTGAGCCAGCTCGGGGCTCTCATAAGGGGTCCTCTGGGGTCGCATTGGAGTGATATGAGGACCTCTTGGACCTTCTTGAACGGTGTGAAGACGTAAACGGCGACGCTGCTAAAACGCTTCATCTGCTTCCCTCTCGGGAACGTCTCGGGGGCTCCCTTGAACTGTTGTTCGGGTGACTTGAAGCATCCTAGGATTTGGACGCCCAGAATGGGTACGGGAAAAATGGGTACAATGCCCAACAGCAAATGTTGTCCCAAACCAACAGCGGCCGCTGTTGGGCAGCGGCCGCTGTTGCGACGTTGACCCATGGGCGGGGTGTCGCGCATGTGCGCCGCCCCCCATGAGTGGGGTCCCTCCAATCGGGGAGCGCGGTCCTGGGCCCCGGACCCTAAACCTCCACACTCTGGTATGCCTCCTCCTCCTCCTTCTCCTCCTCCTCCTCCTCCTCCTCCTCCTCTCCCTCCCCCTCCTCCTCCTCCTCCCCCTCCTCCTCCTCCTCCTCCTCCTCCTCCTCCTCCTCATCATCATGAAACTCGAAACAGAAGACTAAGTACGTACGTATACGCCCAGGCGTGAGGAAGAGAGAGAGAGAGAAGAACAGAAGGAGAGAGACAGAGAGAGAGAGAGACAGGGCTAGACAGAGAAGAGAAATTGTCAACGTGAACATGGTATATGTATATACATGTGTATAGATAGAGAGAGAGAGAGAGAGAAAACGACATACATGGTAACACACATATCTAATGAGGGAGAGAGATGGTGGGAGATACACCATACTATTGGCACAGAGAGAGGGAGAGACAAACAAACTACAAGAGAGAGAGATATGGAGTGAGATAGCGAGAACACATACACACTCTTACCAGCTCTCTGGCCGTCCGTTCTCTAACTCGTTTCTTCGTCTTCCAACCCCCCTATCTACCGCCTCCCCATGGGTCGTGAGGGGAGGGATTGCGAGGCGTTAGAGTGTCCAAGATGGCCTCGGCGAGGAAGGGCCCCAAGAGGTGTCCAGAAGGGCCCAAGAGGCCCTCAAGAGGGCCCATAATGGCCCAAGAGGCCCCCAATAAGGCCCCAAGAGGGCCCCAAGACGGCCCAAGATGCCTCCAAGACGCCCAAGATGGCCTCCAAGGCGGCACTGG